TGTCACAGCCATGCATGAGACATAATATTATAATTTACTGTAGTTCAATCCTCTGGTGTTCGGAATATACGCCGGAAGATTGTTTCGAAATTTAAATCGCCTATTCGCATTGCTGGTAATTACACAGAGAACTACAATTTTGAAATGAAGTCTGTTAATACCGGTACGAATAATTAGGCACAAGGATCATAACAATTTAAGTTACAAGTAAAAAACTCTCCGATCTTTCTGCAAAGTGCAGAAGTTTCTGACTCTGAATCGATTAAAGCGTTGCATAATATCGATTATATATCTAACAAATTATTATGCCTGAAACAGATTGTCCACGAACATTCTTATTAAAATAAAGGAATTTCTTCTCATGAGACACAAATTTAAAAGGGACACATGTAAATATAAAGAATTTCCTTTGTTACCCCTTTGACTGGGTACATTCAAAGTTCCAGTTGTCCATATGAGAGCTCTCACCGGCCTTGTCATTTGAACAAGTGTTGAACAGCCCTCCTGGGATTGTCACTAGCAGATGTGCCAGCAAAGGGTTCGGCTCATTGGGAAGTGGAGAGGTAGTTCAAGTGCTGTTCCATGAAGCGCGTCAAACCGTGATCAAATACCTTTCATAAAAATTAAAAGCTACAATATATAAACATAAAAGCAGAACTTAATGTCTAAATCGAAGTGTTGTTAAACTGTGTTGGAGGGCTTTCTTCGTAAGAGTCACTTGACGAGTTCACCGGAGATAGGCCATCCAGCTGTCTGAGTAGCGACGTACGGACGCTGTTGTCAGAGTGCGCGTGACATAAGGGTAACCTCCTCCTGCTTGAGGTTTTAAATTGAGCGCCGAAATATAAGAGTATAGTGGCATCAAACATCGTGGCTTTAGTCCGCAAGCGAACTATACCGACCGGGCGACAACCGCTTGTCGGTAAAGTTAGTGTCAACTTTAGCGGATAGAGGGTGGCGCGTGGTCAGTGTAACGAATCCCCACAGCCGTTAATATCGATTTTCTAGACCGGAGCCGCTAATTTTCAATTCAAATATCTCCTCAATTATCATCACGAGGCTGAGTGGACATCTCTAGAAGTAACTGAAGATGTCGGTGCATATAAGCGAACACAATGTTTGGGTGTTTAGAAAGAGCCTACTGGGTCAATACTAACTAATGTAATATATATAATGTACGAGTATTGAGAGAAAGAGATATGACTTTACATGACAATTAAAAAAATCAAATCTAGTTGGATAGTTATTTAACGACACCTTCAGTGACTCCGATAAAATGATTAATGAATCTGGAGCTGTTGGCGGAATAACAACTTCGTCCACCCACAAATCCCTGTAACCGAACTTGGATCACCGTGGTGGGAAGCCGAAGATGTTTCTCTTCCAACTTTTAATCATACCAGATCTCAAAATGCCGCAAGACGTGTTGAGATGCTTAATGAATATTTATTCTTAAGGCAAGCCCCAGTCGAATTCCGTCTTGCCCTTACAGTGAAATCTGTGGGCGAGAATGAAACCAAAACGTGCATTCAGGAATTGCAGGGTCAAATTTACATGTACCAGAGGTTAGGAGATTCATTTATTTCTCAGTATTGGAAAAAAAATCACAACAAACGACTACATTATCAATCTACCAATCCAATATGACAACCGAAATGACACGTCTATTTGTTAATTACCCATCCTCCCAAATGGAAACGACTGAATTTCTGTTCACTTTCGGGTCACGTTTTCCGGTAGATATAAGGAGATCATGAACTCAGGCATGACGGGTTAAAGTTGCTAAAACATTTGGAGCTGAACAAATAAAGAATAATAGCCTTAAATTCAATGATGAAGGAAAGGAAACTGAATAATGATAAAGCTAAATTAAATAAACATCGAAAGATTATTTAATAAATTTTAGATTTGCAACGCGTCATAACAGTTCAAAATTTATTTGGGAAAAGAAGAACATTTGCTTCAAAAAGTTAGCTGTAGCAATTTTATATCCCTGTAGGCACCTGGATATTTCCTTCGTTGTTGCAACCGCTTCTCTCCGATTCAGAACATGTTTCCTAGGGAAAATTGTCGTAGAAGCAAAATTAGTTAAGGACATACAGCCTTCGGAAATTATTCTTCTATGCCTCTACGCAGAATAATCGTTATAATGATACGCCACGAAACACGTAAGAATACAGAAATGTGTTTATTGTTTATTGCTTTATTCACTTCATAAATTGAATGTATTACAGACATACTTCTCTGAGTCACCGACAAATTGAGAATGAGGAGGGCGCGCCTGTTCTCGTCCTGTTTTAAGATGCAAATTCAGCATTTGGACTGAGAAAACCCACGAAAATCTTATTATAAGTTTGAAGCCGTTGAAACACGTGATGAGCTCAACAAGTACAGAAAAATGTATTGGTTGCTTGGACGCAATTCTGAGCTACCAATCCACAATACACTTACATTATACAAACAAATTCTACGTCCAGTTTGGAGTTACGGTATCCAGCTCTGGCGCTGCGCCAGTGAATCCAATATTCAAGTGATTCAACGCTATCAGAACAAAGTGCTAAAATGTATTGTCGTAACAGTGACCATCGTGACCTTGGGATCGAGACGGTTACAGATATCATCGCTAAGTCCGCCACCTCTCATGAAAAGAGACTCCAAAACCATGTCAACATTTAAGCGTCCAGATTTCTCAACGTGAACAATATCATTAGACGACTCAAACGGAAGAAACCCTTCGAACTAGTAAAATGTTAAAGTACTAAGTAATTCAGTGGAAGAGATTTAGTTTAATTTACATAGTCTATTAGGTTTAGAAAAAAAATAATCTTTAGTTATCCAACTAGTTTTAATTGTAATTAAGTTCTGGGTTACCCAGTCTTTAATTAATAAATAAAAAAATAAGTTTGTAGCCGTTGAAACATAATTCTAAGCAGACCTTCCTGAATGATACGAATCGTGAATGCTGAACACCAAACCACACAAGACTCTGCAAATCGAAATTGATATTACGTTTGTGACTAATCCGCACGTTTGAAAAATCATGACCTAGTCCTCTTTCGTGGGTTAGTTAAGAATAAAGAAATTAAACTATTTATGTAAGATCGAAATAGATGCTACAGTATTTATAAATGTTTAAGAGGAAAAAGATAATGGGCATTGCTGGTGCCATTGATTGAGATAATCTGTCGCGACATGGAACCCGTTGTAACGTAGTAGACGTAAGGTTCTTTCAGAACGATTATGATTCTGAATGTCTCGAGTTCAATTCTAGGAGCTCAAGTCGGCTGTAGTGGATGAATGCTTCAGGTTTCTTCAGACTACATTTGTGGTAGTTTCCGAAACCATGCCACGATCGCCAACACACCCTTCCGAATTAAATATTTTCGATTTTCGCCCTAATCTACCTGATCAGTTGAAACGTACATAGTGGTGTTACACCACCGTAAACACAACAAATTCATAATAAATAGCCAATGTTATTGTGTTACCATTCGTTTAATTATGTACATTTGCTATATGTTTCGATACAGCTGGGTCATAATCAGGCATTTTTTCACGAAATATACTATCCTTTATTCAATTGTATATTTATGTATTTATAATGTAGATAAATAATATTCATTAAAATGAATTTCATTACAATATCCGTGTTTCGTTATATTTTGGATATTACTCTTTATATTTACAACGTTATAACACGGTAGGAGGATAAAAAATGAAATTAAAAGTTAAAAATGAAAAATTATTTTTTTTCCATTATTTAACGTGAACTTCAAGTCTACGATGTATCGTAGAGTAGATAGGTTTTCTAGGAATATGCGTTTTTAAATTCTCTGTGCACCTGAAAAGTAGATTATAGATATTCTAATATGGTTCAATTTTGAGTGATTTATAGTCGTATGGTGTAGTGTAAATATTTACTTACATCGTGGTTTTCCGCGTGCATGCGAAATAAATGCAATAACGTTCGTTATTTGTTTGTTTTGTTGACGGTTGTTTAACCAGGCTATAAACGTTTAATATACAACAGGGTGCAGACAATAAAAATAATACTAAGATGCAGTTAATTACTAATAAGTAAAAAAATTATAACCCAGTCTAAGATAGCCGAAAATACTTCCCGTTTTCATAAATTTTATTATGGGACCCATGAAGCCGATATGTGAAATATAGATTGTAGCTGACACATGCTAGGCTGTTCTGCTCGTGAGAGCCAGCCGCTGGAGTCTAGCAGTAATGTAAACGCTTTCACCAACCACCTTAAATATAACCTCTACTATTTCTTTTCAAACTTTCTAAGTCTATTCATCCTTCTAATAAAGATCTTCATAAATGTATTCATCGATATAATAAAAATTAATGTTGACTTACTTACTTATGGAGCTGAAAAGCCAATTCTGCAGCTACTCAAGAATTTCCTAGCATTATATGGAACCCGAAGGTTTATTACCGTGTTCAAAAGAGCCCTCTATTGGTCCCTATCTGGAATAACATCAGTCCAATCCATACCATCCCATCCTATCTCTCTAAGATCAATTTTAATATTGTCCACCCCCATATGCCTTGGTCCTCCAAGTGGTCTCTTTCCTTCTGGCTTTCCCACCAACAACCTATATGCATTCCTCGCCTCCCCCATTCGTGCTACATTTTCTGCCCAATGTCATCCTCCTTGACTTGATCATTCTAGTTATACTTGGAGAAGAGTACAAGTTATGAAAATTAATGTAGACTCTGACATGTAATTCATCTTTATGCAGACATTTGGAAGACAAAGTAAGGTTTTAAATAGTAAAATCCCACAAATTTCAATGAAATGGGCCCCCAAATAACTCAGTGAGAATCAAACAATTTCCAGGAGATCTTTTCCGCCTGACTTGCATCTTGCTGGTTTCAATTGCTGCTCATTATATCAGGTCTTTGATCTGCTTCGCTCAACCCCTCGCTAATGTACACACATGGTTCCTTCCTAATGCTCCTAATAGTTCTGTATGCCATTACAGGTGCAGAGGGAGCGTTCAAGAAGTTGAAGCCTGAACCGCAGTCACTGCTAGGGAGCGGGGGGCCTTCACCCCCTAGCGCTCCCCAGCATGCGGGCCACACACCCACAACAGCGTCATGCCCCACTCCGGCGCGTAGGCGACATCGGACAACTTTCACTCAGGTACGCAGCAACCAAACGTTTTTGTTTCAATATGAATAAATACACACACAGGATGATTGCACGAAGTTACTGTATGCGGGGACCTGTGATAAATAAAGTATTCTTAATAATGCTTAGGTATGAAAATAAATATTGTGACTAATTAAATAAATTTATGTATGGCACTTCGGTGGAACCCTAAAGACTCCGAATGTATCTACAGCAATGCCTCATGAAGGAACTCAAGAATTACTGTTTTACTACAGAACTCAAAAGACCCTGAACATACTTACAAAAATATTTCATCAAGGAATCAAAATTGACCTAGGTATGTTTACAGTAATGTCTTACGAGTTGTGCACAGTTGTGCACCGTCTAAGGCAGGAACTGTCTTCGGCCGCTCGAACGCTGGGATTGTGGGTTCGAAACCCATTCCAGGCATGGACGTCTATTTATATTTTGTAGCGGTCTTGCAACTTACTGATCCCCTTTCCAACTGTCATAGGTTGAGAAACTGAAGTGAAATGAAGTATTTCACGGATGACCTATGCTCCAAGTTGGAGCAACATGAATAGAAGAAGAAGAAGAATGTATAAATTATTTCATCGTATATAGGGTTAAACATTTCAGTAAAATTATCATTAAGTTGTAACTTTTGTTTGCTGAATGATAATTTTACCGGAATGTTTAACCCTATATACGATGAAATAATTGATACATACAAAACATAATATACAGTTATACCCTCTTCCCCCCCTACCTTCACTCCCGCATACACCTTATCTTTACCTCCCCCCTCCCCCTTACATTGACTTTAATCCTGCATCACCAAATCAGTCGTTGTTTACTTTCCATACAGTACGGACAATTCTTCGTAAGATGAGGCATCGCCTATACAGTAAGTATAATATATACTATATACTACATCTTCAATATCCAAATCAATTACTAATTATGACAAAATTTAATACTATTATTTTCGTATCATTTTCAGATTAATTAGTTTCCAAAATCATGGGTCTCCAATACATTCTTATACAAAAGAAATATCGAACTGCCAATTGGTCCATGGAAACGTATGAAAAGTAAAAAATCAACGACTGATTCGATGTTGTGTAACATCAATTAAGTTTTATCTTGTTTTATACAATAACATTTATTTTTTATATAATCTGACTTATTGTATTTTTACGCAAAGTATTTTAAATGATTAATAACATTGTATCCAATTTAATGTACAGCAGTTCAGTAGTATATGTTTGTTAATATGTGTTTACCTGATGATGGACGTTAGTGGCTGAAACATGTAGCGAAACCATAGTTGGGCGCTAACCTTGATATTTTTTCTGTTTGTTGTGTTGTGACGTTCAATAAAATAGTTATATATTGTGACACAACAGAATGCACGAAATGAAAATTATTTTCACTTTTGTTTCTCCTCCTTACGATATGTTTCGGCATCAGAGTGAAAGAAGTTGGATTGAGGGCTGAATATACTGTGCTTGAAATATATATAAAAGCAACAGTGTGCTTAAATATAATATTACATGTTCCACAAATAATTTCATTTGATTCTAATATTGTGGTAGTTGTTTCTTTGTCATGACAGCTTTTTAGGATTACATTTTTAATTATGTTGGAGATAAACTTTATTACTTGTATCTGGATCTACCTGTATTTAACTAGCTGTGCTTTCTTCTCTTTCTATTATCTTTTAAATTTTAGAAATTTCATAGCTTCCATTCCTGTCTATTATGTCTTCATGTAGTTATAATATTCTCTCTTTAGCCTGTACGAACCCTCTTCTGTGCCACAAGTTGTAGGCCGTCTTTCATAATGTTGAAATCTAAAGTGTCCATGAATTTGGCATGTTTCTATGGCAATGACAAGCAATTAATGCGGAAATTTAATGTGGAAGAATCATTTCAAACGTCCAGATGAAATTTTCAGAATAAGATTAGAGGATAATATTAAAATGGATGCATTGTAATGAGAATCAGGTATGATGGAACTTGTTCAAGATTATGTCCAATGGCAGGGTGCTGAACAACGGACTCTGTTAGGCCTGTTGTGTTAAATATCTTCGTTTGTTTTATTCATCAGTAAAAAAAAACATATGTATCTAACTTGCCACAGGAACAGCTGGCGGAGCTAGAGGCAGCGTTCACAAAGTCGCATTATCCAGACATATACTGCAGGGAGGAGCTTGCTAGGACAACCAAGCTAAACGAGGCACGCATACAGGTCAGTCGCTTTATGCACTTGTATATGGGGCACAATAATCACAGTGGATACAACTACAAAGCTCTGCTTACCAATTATAGTCATTCACTACATTGGTTTATTACAACAGTCGATTAATTACAGCCTTAATTTCGTTCAACGGTGTCCATTTTCTGCAATGTATTGCATTTAATGATATGTACGAAATTTCGGGAGTTCCAGTTCCTCTCATCTTTAGATGACTGTCATCATATATAAGTGCAATTGTAAATAGAAGATTAATGTTCAAGAAATTCTGGTATAAATCACAACTGCTGCCACAAACATTGAAAAATAAAAACATTTTTCAGTACAAAGGCAATTACTAGAAGTTGACACTAGAGTCGCTCTCGAAAGTTCGTGAATGTTACATATACCTCAGGCAATGCTCAGTGTCTAATATGTATAATTTCGATGTGATGTTGGCAATTCTGTTTTATTGGCCTTGTCATAATAGTCTTATTCCAACGTAACATCGGCAGAAATTTTTAGTATTTTGTATTGATGTTTATTAACAGCAAACTTAGCTGCAATTCATTATTCCGTTACCCTTAAAGAACCAGCGTTTCCTCTTCATTTAAAGCTTAAGATACGTATATTAAGTATCTCGTCAAATGTTCCCTAATTGAATGGTTCATTTTCTGTTTATTTAACCATAAACTCAGATGCTCGGAATATTAGTATGCAGTGCCGACTGTATTGAAGAAGGAAATGAAAAGGCGTAATAGGAAACAGTCCTAGCCTATTTAAAAATACAGTGTGGCTATAATAATTTGATACACTTTCGGGGATAAAATACGATGAAACTGTAAAGCATACCAACATATAACCGGATTCATTGGAAAGTCAATTTCTTAGATTTCAAAATTGGCGGTGTATCTCTGTAATACCTATCTTTACCGCCAGGCTCCACAATTGTCAGAATGACGTCTCCAACAGAGGAGTTTTCCGAGACAGTACTCTTAAACAAATTTGTGCACCAGTGTTCAGCGTGCCATGTGGCTACTTTCTGTGGGGTTACGTAAAGGAACAAGTATTTGTGCCACCTCTACCACTGGATATTGATGCATTTAAGTTGAGAATTACTGCAGCTGTCGTGACAATTGACAGGAACATAAAAAAAAATACGGGATGAGCTGGATTAGAGACAGGAAATTTGTCTGGTCAGAAATGGAGCTCATATTCAGCATCTTCAGGGTTTGTAAAACTTTCAGAGTTTGTCATTCAAATGACACTTGTTTCAACTTTATAGCTGTTGTTGAGCTTATTTTGGCACAACAAATTAAAATTTTATCAAACATATACGGCCATCCTGTAGTATGCCGAAATTTGCATACAGAGGCTGAGGAAAAACACGAAACACTTTCGCCGTGATAATCTCCGGGCCGGAAATATGGAAAATAATAAAATGTACCTTGTGGAGGGGTCGACCCCCTCCGAAACGAAAGAAAGGAAACGGCCCGCATGGGAGGAACCGGTAGTAGAAACGCCGGCCTCCCTAGCAGGAATGAAAGTGAAGGATGAATGTAAGACAATGCGACCGACAAATCCAGGACCATGAAAGAGCTCGGGGCGAACACTCTGTAAGAAGGAAGGCGGATGGAAGAATCAAACATCAAAACGAAAGAAGGGCGGAGTTAACACGAGGAAGACGAACACGTTAGGCTGTTCGGGACGAACAACCTTTAGAAGGGAGCAATGTGACGCGTTACCTTACATCCATCACCGCGACAACCGCTACAGTCGGGACGGACACTTCCACGACAACGAATACTTGGAAATGTGGAGTTCCCGTAGCGACAAATCATAGCAACGAATTGTCGTTGAGTAACAACGGATGAGATGAAACACGTTACCGGTGTAATCTATAAGGAACGTTCCCGAAACAACGGATTGCCGAACACGTGAGATCGAACCTTGGCGAGGGGTGTCCTTTATTGAGACCGCATAACCCCTATATAAGCAGAGCTTACGACACGTATTAGAGAATTGAATTGAGTATTGAGACAGAAGCCAAATGATACTACAACTGATAATAAATGTACAGAGTGTAAGAGTGAGTACCCAATAAAGATTCACTAAATCCGAGACCCACGCGAAGTTATTTGTCGCGTTACATACCAAACACGTGACAATATGTTGGTGTATTTCGAAGTAGAGCAACAGCCCAGAGTGTTATATTAGAGAATGCTTGTAGATGAATGCAGTGTTTGCACTACAATGTAATCCAGTGTTTGGATTGTCAAAGACTATATGCGTGTTCGAGGTTTCGGCAAGTTTACACGACTCACTGACTCCATGAAGGAGAATTTGTGTTGAAAATGTGATAATCGCTCAGTCGGTCAAGAAATTCCCCGCTTTTCCTGGGACAAGAAGGTCCATTATAGTATTCACATGCCCCCGGCACTGCTCCCTATCCCGGGCTGACTGAAACAACTCCTCACTCTCACGTGCCATTTATGCGACCTCCATACGCCCTACGTTTATGCCTCCACAGCAGTCTTCTCCCTAAAGGTTCCCCACTCTGATTTTGTATGCCAACTCAACCGCCCTACTTTCATTACTTTCACTGTATGTGGTTCGTTATATAATTTATAAACCTCATGATTGTACATTGATATCCTTACACCATTTTCCTTAATTTGGCCATAAATCCTTCCTAATATCCTTCTTTCGCAGATTTGGAGCACATTTCCATCTCACTTTTTAGGGGCCCACTTTCACTCCTATAGGTAAGTATAGTTCTTGCAAGGGTCTTATATAGAGTGCATTTAGTCTCTCTCCCCAAATACCGCGAACTTAATTCTTTCTTTAGGACATAACTCGATTTGCCATTAAAATTCTCTATTTTATTTCAATAGTGATTTTATAATCAGCCGTCTCTGTGGTCTAGTGGTCAGAGTTCCTGCCTACAGATCCAGAAGTCGGGGTTCGATTCCCGGCTCTACCAGATTTTCTGAGAAGTAGTGAGTCTAGAACGGGGTCCACTCAGCTTCGTGAGGATAATTGAGGAGCCATTTCAAGGAAATAGCGGATCCGGTGTAGAAAACCGAGATTAACAGCAGTGGGGTTCCGTTGGGCTGACGACGTGACTCCCTCTATCCGCAAAAGTTGACACTAACTTCGCCGACAAGCGGCGGTCGCTCGGTCGGTATAGTTAGCTTGCGGACTACAGGCCATGGAGTTTAGTTTTTTTTTATTTAGTGATCTTCTAATCTCCTATTAGAGTAGATTCGAGATATTTGAATTCTCGCAATCTTTCAACTTCATGATCATTCACTTGAAGCATTCTTGAATCAGGTGGCCATTTTGATGTCCATGTATTTAGTTCTATTCAGATTGATTCCAATTTCTCATCTCCTCAGCCACATAACATCGCCTGCCCATCTCATCTTTCTGAATTTGATCACCGTGGACACTGTTTAGTGAGGAATTCAAATTATGAAGCTCCTCTTAACGTATTTTTCTGCGTCCTTCAGTTAGCAATACTCGTTGAAATTGAATAGCTATTTCGTACAAGGAAAGCGTGATGTCTGAGAGCAACCTTACCGAAAGCACACGCACAACTACGTACTCCCACCCATCTTTGTTGCTATTGTTATTGTTATGAGCCCATTTTGCAGTATCCTATCCCTTGCCCCGACGTTCTAAATTGAAAACAAAAAACAAAAGTCAATTAGAGCAGTGGAACATTTTAAAACGTTCCTGTCAATTATTATTTGGCAGAGAAGAGAAATGGCGTGTGGGTTGTGCACTGGGTGTGGTGATGGTATGAGAATGGTAGGAGGAGGTGAATTGCGGACCAGTATGAATATGAATTAATAATTGGAATAAGCGTTTTCCATTGCAATAAACATATATACGAGTATGGTATCTGTGCCTAGAGGGGAGGAGGTGGGGAAGGCTGTGTGACTGACCATATATGAGCACTGAACGGCCTGTGTGCACGTTAAAAAAACCACTCGTAGCAAAAGCCTATAGTGCATGGTACAGTGATGGAATTTTAGCATATAAAGTTTCTCTACCATCCGTCCATTTCCATATTCATCAGCATATAGTGAATACGTATAGCCGTGGTTAGGGGCAGTTCCCATAGTGCAAACTACAAAGCTTATGGGATCCGGGCATATATGGAACACAGCGAGAGGATTCACTGGAATACCTCTGCAGGTAGGCAACTTTTCGAGCTGTTTTGTATGGCTTGCCTGCCTACCTATAAGGATATGTATGAAGCAGAATTGCAGTGTGCATTAAATTCTGCACTCTTATTAAGTTCCCTGTATTTTTTCCGACAGTCTGAGTTCGATTTTATTTACGGATGTGTTTGTTGACTTGTTTCTGTTTAATTCCTTGAATTGAGCCTTTTAAAAGGAATGTTACTTTGTAATTCAAGCGATATATTTCGGAAGGCCGTGTATTATTGAGACATACACATTAAACTAATGCAAAAATACATTCCTTTACATCTGAACACATTTGCAAGTAATTGTAGCAAACATAATTAATTTTATAAAATTAAGGGTAAAAGATGGGAGTGGAGTGTAAAACATCTACTTATAGGTATCTAAAGGGGTCCCTTTGAAGCATTCCAATCAAATTTATGTATGCTTTTATTGTTTCCCTATTCGTGCTCCATATCACTGGAAGCCCTACAGTGCGACACAGTTATAGAAAAATGAGCAGCAATTTAAAGCTATCCCTGTAACAGGCCATGGAGGGCCATTGGGTTGTGAGACGTAGAGCCTGTCACATTTTTTAGACAATCGGTTCACATACGGCGGTAAGGTCAGCCTTACGCGCCGGCCGCCCTTTACTTCCAAGAAGATTCCTGGTACTCATTTCTATCAGAGTCTGAGTCGATCCCAGCGCCAAATTGTGGCAGGAAGGAATAGGTCAATTGAAAAATCCAATGACCTCATCAAGAATCGAACCCGGCCTCAACCAACTACGCTACCTCGTGCCCGTACATGAGCATTACTTAA